CGTACCATTATTGCACATGCCAAAATCTGCTCTGAGTTATCCAAAAGATATGACTGAATGTCCTTTTGAGGCAAAAGGTCAAAAAAGAAAATTAGGAAATACACAAACAGTAAGTTGATCTCGCTCATGAAAATGCAGAATTGTGACTGTTGTTTAAAACATCTTTGTTTATTAAATAGGACAATGGAAATTCATCTGAATCAAAGACTAAACGCGGTCGCTCAAAAGGTATTACTCAACAATGTTAAGCTTTTTTTTTTATTTGTATTATATATTTATTAGTTATTCTATTATTCATCTTAATAAATCATAGGTTCACCACCAGAAAGTTATGTTTGTAATATATGTAATAATCCTGGTCATTGGATTCAAGATTGTCCTGAAGCCGATCAAAAAAGTCAACAGAATAGAAAGCATAGACAAATTCCTAAGGATTATGTTTGTAATTCGTGCCAAGAAGTGGGAACGCATATTATTTTTGATTGTCCTAGTTACGGATGTAAAGAATGCGGCGAAAAAGGTCATCACCCTAAAGATTGTCCGTCAACTATGAAGACGAAAAGACAACCAGGTTGGTTACAATTTTTCTTTTTGCATTATCATGACACTGAATAACATTCTTACATTTATTATTTTGTACTTAATACAGTACAACCTTGTTGGTTTTGTTTATCCAATCCGAAAACGGCTAGACAGTAAGTCAAAAATAATTATGATAACGTGAATCTCTAAAAGTTCATCCCAATTTTAATAGTTTTTGATAAAATTTTCATAGTTTGATTGTATCTGTGGGTAACGATTTATATTTATCGGTAAGGTGTAGCATTCTAAATTTATGTTAAAAATTTCTTTTTTATTAATATATAAACGTAATATATAATATTAGTTGGCCAAAGGAAGTTTAATTGATACTCAAAACTCTTCTGCGTCGATTGTACCGGGCGGTGGCCATGTTTTGTTGGTAGGTAGCACGTATTTAAAAGTAACATACATTGATTTATGTGAACATGGCCTTTCATTTTTTTTTTTACGAACTATTATCAGGTTGCAATCGTACATTACCCCACATTCCGAGAAGCATCACTCGATGATCAAATTAACATGAAAGCTGAAATGGATAAATATAAATGGTCACTAAACCGATTTTATCAAGAATACGGGGCAGGAATGGTGTCATTTGAAGTATCATTTTTCCGTAGAAAACAATATCATTATCATGTACAAATTGTACCAGTTCCATTTGAACATGATTCTGAAAAGATTCGTAAGGCATTTATAGATGAAGCTAAATCAGATGAATTAAAATTTCACGAAGTTCAAGGATCATTAGAAATTGTGCCTGTAAACTATTTTAAAGTAGATTTGCCAGATGGAACTAGCTTAATTCACGAAGTTGGTGCTAAAGAGCAATTTGATGTGCAGTATGGAAGGTAAGAATTTGAATGTATTTTGTCGTTGAGGTTTATTGTACTGATTCATTTTCATGTGAAAATTTTTTTTTTTCAATTATAGGAAAGTTCTTTGCAAATTATTAGGGTCGCCAGAGCGTATTAATTGGAGGGAATGTATATTATCTGATGAACTCGAAACGCAAGATGCCGAAAATTTTAAAAAAGCATTTACAAAGTATGATCCTATGGCAAATGTGAAAGGTGTTTAAAACATAATAGAAATCCGAACGAAAACATAATATCAAAGGGTTTAATAATCTTTTTGAACAGTATGAGTGATGTTTGGGTATTATTACTAGTATACGTAATAAAAATGCATTTACAAAAGAATATTATCTGATATAAAAAGCCATAGATTTTCAAAATAATTTATTTAAGGTGTTATACGTATACAATATTTAAGAAGATAGTATCGCCGGCAACGATTTTTATGGAAAGACCTGGGATTGTATGAATTCCGTATGATTATTTCATCACCCAGCAAACTTTATTGGGCACAATATATGCATATTACTATATTATATATGTGTGTATATATAGTATAAATATACACTGAACAATAGCATGCATGTTTAACAGTTAAGATAAAAATTTTTAATTCTAAATAAAAGTTCTCATGAGATAGCTGCACCCTGCCTTTACATGCATATATGCACAATCACCCGAACAAAGTGTTCATCTATTTTCGGATTCGAAATCTTGCCTAAGTGGACAAAAAAATCATTCGAAACTAATATCTATTCCTGGCCAGCTTTAACGAACGCAAGTTTACATTAATTTTCATCTTGCGTAATGCAAAACCGGTTACGCTGTTTGAGAGTCCGAAAATGGACGAATACTTTGTTTGGACATATGAAAAAAAGGAGCCTATTATTAGTTTTTTATTTATCACTGCTAAAGTCCGGTTTAATATTTTGAGCTGTCATAAACATGAGCGATGGTCGACATTATACTCCTGTGTCGCTTCAGTCTTCAGGTGTTGAATTGTTTTAGTTTTATGAAATTAATGTAATTTTAATAGAGTATTACCGATAATGACCTTAAGTTTGAAAAAAATATAGTAGTAGGTACCGCTTCAGCCGAGGAGTTATCCGAAAATTATCAAAAATTATTCCAGGAATTCTCTCGGTAAATTTATTTTTATTATTTTTATTATTTTATTTCTATTTTATCTTATCCTTTTTTATATTATTAGGCTAAAAGCTCAGCACTCTGTCTTGAAACAAGCAATCGTCAAGGTTATTCTCAATGATTAATTTAATTTATTTTTGTTTTTATTTTTTGATTAAATTAATAAAATTAATTCATTTGCAACAGGAACATGAAATCAATATATCATTAAGAGATGAATGTAAAATCAAAGAGCAAGAATTGCGTTCTGTATGTTAAATTAAATCCTTGATTTATTGCATTCATTTAATTTTGTGAATTCTATTATGTTTACATTTATCATTTTATGTAGTCACTCCAACAACTCGATCTTTTAACTTTCCACAATCAACGATTAACCAAACGTATTGAAAGCCTTCAAGAAACGAGCTCTGCGGTACCTTTTTTTTTTTTAAAAAAGTCTAAATTTCCATTTAAATTTAACATGTGATAATTGAAACATTTAAAATTTTATCACATTAGAAATCGTCACCCGGTTGGTTAATTGGTTCAGCAAAAAAAGAACTTGAAAGGACGAAAGTCCTTTTAGAAACTACAAGTGAAAAATTGACAAAAGAAATCGATGAAAATGGTATAAAAAATTTTGATACAGTCAGTCCTCCCTAAACGCACTTCCTTGAAACCATAGTTAAAAAGAAAAGCTAAAGTATGCACTTAAAAAGAGTGTACATTTATAAAGAGCAAAACATGTAGAGCTTTTATAAGTTAAGGCCATGTTATACTGTGCATTTATATAGAATGTGCGCTTGGGAGGTTTTCTGACTTACTATGAATTATTTTTAAGCTTTCAACTCTGGTTCATATTTCTATACTCTAAAAGTTTGTTATATGGCATGTTTTTTCTTCAGAAATTTTACACAAGGAACTTTATGAGGCCAAGAGTTTGTACTCTCAACATTCGAACGTTCTTGAAACCAAGATTTCAGAATTAGAAAGAAAGGCCGAAGAGCTCCAGGTACCCTCATAAGACATTAGATTTATATTGTATTCGATCAGGTACGCATTAATTTACATTAACACGACTTATATAGATTGAATTAACAAGATCACATCTTGCTAGCGAAGATGCTTTAAGTACATTACGTCAAGAAAAACGCGAGCTTGATAATGAACTCGAACAAACAAAAACAGAATTACGCAAGTAAGTTTACCCTGGATTTTTTCTTGAATTATTACTTTATCTCTTTTATTATAATCTTTAATTATTATTGTAGAAAGCGTGCTTTGATGGAAAAGAATGAACAT